TGCTATGGGCTCTTCTATTCAGCTAATCAGCTCTACCACATGTTTCTTGGGGATGTAAAAAAAAACTGACCCGCAATATCCCGCCCTGGCCCGAGACATTTGGGGTGGGTCCGGCCCGTCCCGTCTTGCAAATGGGGCGGGTCCGCCCCGACCCGCCTATACAATGGGGCGGTCCAGGTATTAGTATTGACCTGTGGCACCCCGTCCCGCTGAATGTATAAGTATACATATTTTTCTTAAATTATACTACAAATATATTTCAACATACATATGTGTGTATACAATAAATCATAAATTCTTCCATCTTATAATATATATATATATATATAGAGGAATGCTCCTGTCCAGACGTCCGGACAGGAGCCGCCGTCCGGCCGGCGGCGTTTGGCCGCCTTCCCGGTGGAATTTTTTGATGAAATTTTTATGGCATGTTCTCCATCAAGTCTAGTTTATCCACAAAAAAATTCAGCCAAAAACTCAATCGGGAAGGTCGTCAAATGATTTTTGCAAGTTAACTGGTCCGGAAAATACATATTCCGGACCAGTTAACTTGCAAAAATCATTTGACGACCTTCCCGATTGAGTTTTTGGCTGATTTTTTTTGTGGATAAACTAGACTTGATGGAGAACATGCCATAAAAATTTCATCAAAAAATTCCACCGGGAAGGCGTCCAAACGCCGCCGGCCGGACGGCGGCTCCTGTCCGGACGTCTGGACAGGATCTTTTCTATATATATATATATATATATATATATTAGAATGAGATAACGACAGATTATCATTTTCTTCTTTATATATAACCTTTCAATACATTTATTCTATTATTAATATAATTAAAAAGATTTACTATTCAAGTATGAGTAATTTTTCTTTAATTTTTGAAATTTGTAGCGCATCATGAATTAGATTTAATATATTACGGAGTAATTTTTATTATTGTTTAGAGATAAACTTTATATAGATTCAATTGGTAAAAATTTTCCACGAATAAAAATACATACTAGCTAATTAGGTTACGACGGGACGGGACGAGGCAAACCCGCCCTGCATGGGGCGGGTGATGGGTCAACAAGTTTGGACTCGTGCAGCCACAGGCGGGGCAGACCCACCTTGAACCATTGCCAATTGCCATGCCTACTGTATCTCTGAGTACTCCGTATTATTTACTATGCTCCGTAGTCAGCTTCAAATGCTTCTGCAAAGTCGAGCTCTGAGTATTTACGAGTCAACTTTAGATGCTTCCGCAAAGTCTAGCGCTGACCACCCATCTTCCATCTTCACCCTTTCCCACTGCCCATGTCAATCGAGGAGTTTCTCTCATCCTTCCCAAATGCCCTAAAACTCACAAACTTTCCTGGTTAACGAAGAAGAACTCGTGCCCCGGACTCTCAATTCGACCTCCGAACTGCGCTATCTCAGTGGTCTCACCAGAGCCTACCCAATCTGAATTGGCTAACGATGGCAAGCCATTTCCAGCTGAAGTCTCTAGAACAATAATGGAATTGGCCTCCGTAGGCACTCTCTCCACATTGACCGAAGATGGCTGGCCTATGGGCATTGGAGTTCGCTTTGCTGTTGACCCTGAAGGCACCCCTCTCCTCTGCTTGAATGACTCCATTTCTAAAGTCTCTGTTAATAGCAAGTCCAGCTTCCACGTCCAGGTATTTGATCTCTTCAATCCTCAGTTTCTGCTGTAAAGATGTAATCTTTATCGTGTTGGGTTTTACTAAACGTTTCAATCTTTGATATTTTGCATTGCTTTTTTAACAGCTAGAACAGTGTGGTGTGAGGACTTCACAGTGCACAGTGCAAGGTGTCCTTGTGAAGCCAGAAGACCCTAAGGTTTTGGAGGTATGACAAAAGTTTGTTCACTAGCTGCCACACTCTTTCTTGTTTGCTTAGTTGCATCCTTTCTGTTACCATCATTCTCATTGCAGATTATTCACACTATATTTCGTAATGGTTTATCAAATGCAGTTTAATGTGTCACCCTCCTAATTAAGTAGTATGCTTTCTCTCAATTGTTTCCCGTTATATATTGATAATATAATATTTCTGAAAAAGAAAAAGGTTGATTGAAATGTTATATAGTCACCTACAGTATTATTCCTTTAATTTCTACAAAATGTCAAATATATATCAAGATATAGACAACCGTCATAAACCCTTATTCCAAAATGATAATAATAGAATAAAACCATAGATTGATCGATGTGTGGATCTATTAATCTCAAACTGGGAAGTGCTCATTTGTAGCTAATCCTTACATGAGAGTAATAAAACTAAGAATTAATGGAGTAGAGCTTTATGTATAAAATGTAGTGTGAACTGAAAAAACATAGGGGGCCTTTTTGCTTCAAGTAGCTTCGATAGTGGGGTGTCAAAAAAAGGAAGTTGTGAATGAATCACACTCACATAAAATTCTTTTTCATACAGAAGCTACAATCAGTATGGAAAAGGCGTTTTGGCTATGATGTAGATGAACACTGCTTGTATGCTGTTTCTGTTGAACAGTTGCTTCAAATTGAAGATCTCGGGGAGGTTCGTCACTCATGCATGTCTGTTTTAATTTTACCGACGAAAAGATGACCACTGCTTTTCTTATTATTCTACTTTCAGGATGGGGTATGGGTCTCCTCTTCAGAATACAAGCTCGCAAGCCCTGATCCACTCAGAGACTTTGCCGAAAGAATGATCACAGAGATAAATCTTCACAATATGGAAGACGTTATTCGTTTTTGTAATGTCTATGTGGATTTGAACTTTCGGGTCTGTAAACAACCATTATCTTTTTCTCCAACGTTTTTTGGTTTGTTCTTAGCTTTGGTCTGTTCAATTATAAAAGCAATTGCTCTTTTTAGCTCTCCCATTTGGTAGCATGATTCCGCTTATTCTGCTGATACTCAAAATAAGTGCTTTTGAGTTGCTTATTTGGCTAAAATGAATGTTACAGAACACTTCTCCAATCCGAAAATTTTGTAGATTAATCCATTTGATCCAAATAATCCTTACCAAACAGGTCCTAAATTTACTTTCTTTCCTGGTTCTCTGATAGGTATCAGATGCACGGATGCTATGGGTTGACAGATTAGGGTTTGATGTCCGCTTCTGGTCTTCCCAAAAGGATGTCTTTGAAGTTAGAATCCCTTTTCCTAGAGAAGTGGCTGATGAGAAGGGCGCTAAATCTTCTTTCAATTGTATGTCTCAACTTGCTTGGGAAGTGGAAAGGAATTTTCATGCTCTAGAATTTGAGAAGGCTAAGAAGCTTAAAAAGATAATGTCAAAGGGCAGATTCGAAAAGGTTGCTTAACATTTTGCAGTTTGCATCCATACTTGGTCTAATCCAAACTAGTTCCACAATGTTCTGTTTCTGTGAGAAAGCGGGTCGGTTTTCACGATCATTGCAGCTTGTTTGCTCTCTCCATCGAACTGTTTTTGTAAAACAAAGTTTTGAAATGAGGTGATATTGCTATGTTGTGGCTTTGTTGGTTTGGTCAAGATGACAATTAGTCATTGGTTCATTTCTGTATGATCTAATATTGCATTTGTGGTCTTGAAATTAGGCTGTTAAAGTTTTGGTGAAAAATAAGATTCATAGACATGAAGTTCTTGTAGCTTTGTATGTGTATTTAGACCTAAAAAAGAATCATAACAGGGAAAATACATGTTTCACAACTGAGCTAAGCTTTAAAGCTTTGTGTGGTGGCCATAATCGGCTGATTTAGACTGCTTATAAGCAGAATAAGTAGTTTTCCACTTATATGGCTGAAGTGAATGTGAATCTGCGCTTTTACAGTTTTACTCTCAGAAAATTCAGCACATTCATGCATTTAGCCAATTACCTGTACCAAAAGGGCCTTAAAGCCCTTAAGTATCATGACTCTTTATTAGTTGATGAGATGATATACGGCAATGGTCATGGACTCATGGTAGTGAAAACCAAGTTGGTCAAATTTATCAAGAAAAATAATGTTAAAAAATGTAAACATAAAAGATGACATCTATGTATTTATGTGCTATTATGTACTTGAGTAATAGGCTCAACCGAACTCCCTACCACAATGGTCATCATCGCGAAAAGCCTTAGGGGCCAACCCAGCAATTTTTAGGGCAAACTTGCAACTCCAAAACTACAATGCTAGAACTTGCGCCTAGTTGGTATGCAATGAGGCGTGGCGATTGCATTTTCTGATTTTAATTAAATATGTTGTGGCTACATAAAAAAACCTTTTTCTATACATTTCTTGTCCGACTCTTCGTTCTCTTTGCTCAAGTTATCATACTCTTTTATTTGTGCATTTCCCCATCAGTATGGTGTTATATACTCCGTATAATTTGTTTGATGTTAGTATGACATTCAACCAACAATCCAACATGATATGATCACATGAATTTGCTTCTATGCTATAGGATTTTGTTTCTTTCTAATAATGATAGCAGTGATGGTAATGATGTATTTCATGTGGGGATTTAATCGTAATTTTGAACAACTTGATATTGATAAACCTGTTTTCCATTCCCAAATTTGATAAAAAAAAATTAAATGCTAACTTGACTAGGCAACTTTTGATGATCTGTGATGTTTGAACCTACTATTTTGATTGGGTTATGACCCTACTATTGTTTGTTTTTACAACAAGATTGGTAGAATTTTAATGACCGTTTTATTATATTATGGAGTATATAATAGTAGTATAAATTGATTTTATATATTACGTAGTATTTGTATTATTTTTCTATAAATTTGTATTAATAAATTATGCTTGCGCCCCCATTGTGATGAGGCTTATGCAATACAGAATCCCTACATCCGCCTCAACTGCGTAATACGAAATTTCAAAGATTGTCTTATCTATGGATTGTTACTTTGAAATAAGGAAATTATTTTTCTTGACAAAAGGCACATAAGTATAATCCTAGGTCATTGGTCAGTGTTATTATTTGCTATCTCATGTCTTACCCAGCATTGCATGAATAATGAAATCTGAAGGGTGAAGGACTGAAGGTATATAATAAATTATCTTAAACATGATCAAGGGGAATAAATTAAGAGTATCAAGTATCTACACAACCTAATTTAGCTGAGTCATTTTCTGTGTATGTATGTGCACTATATTAAGTGTTGTTATACAAATCTATATACATGATCATGCAGCTGCAGGAGTTCGGGAGACTCGATCAGCAATGACTCTATTGACCTTGCTGGTAAGTTTTGTGCATTTTGTGGCACCAAATTCCTCTACCATTGGTTTAAACAGAGAACTAATCATCTGCTCCAACCTTTCTGATGTGTATTTTATATCTACTGGAGATTCATATTTTTCAATGTATGGAGGAACAACAGCCTGAAGAACAACTTCACAAATCCTCCATCTCAGCCTGTTGTCACATAGTTCCACCCCGGATTGGCTCTCATAGATTCTCTCGAATGCTTTACCAAAAGAGACGTTATCATCTTGATCAGCTAGTTTTCCCCAACTCTCCTTCAGATAAGCCTCCATGAAACGTTCAATGTTTTCCTTTTGCTTTCTTATCCACGAATTTCCCATTAGTTCACCAAGTTTTGTACCCTTTGTGTGTTTGCTAATGTACCAGTGACTATTGATCAAGAAGAGACAGGAGAGTGCGGGTTCCACGTACGCTCTTGCCCATGCCTCCAGATTCCTCTCCAACGCGGTCACTATGTTGCGAATCTCGCCCGCGACGAGTTCCTCGTCAAACTCCTTGTGGTTCCATCCTTGATGAATCTCAACAACTTGGAGTAAAGTCAACCAGTACTCATCTTCTAGTAACTCGTTGCAGAAAATAGTGACCAAAGTGACCAATCTTGGAACACCACAGTTACTTGGTAGTAGCGCAGATGGAAGTTGTTGAAGTTCAACTTGTTGGTGGAGTTCCCAGAAAGTTTCACAAACACCATTCACAACTTTCTTCATCAGTTCCCTAGTCTGTGTTTGGATGTCCCAAAACGCTTTTCCATTGAAAAGTCTGTTAAAATCCGGTCTTAGCTTGTTAAGAACTGCAAATATTTCAAGAAGCCTTAAAATCTTGATTGCTTCCTTCTTTCCCTCTGCTATAGCATTTCCAAACTTGAAGAATGATTGAAACCCAGACTGGGTAACAATCTGTAAAAAGATTTCGCTGTGATTCTTTTGGAAAATCTCACAGCAGAGGTTGTGCTCAGTTTCAAACACATATTTCACTGCATATTCCAAATGTGTTCCCCAATGATATATCTGGTTTTCTACCCCGTTTAGTCTGTCAATCTCTGTTAATGGCATTTCCAGGTAATCCAACCCCAGTTCTTCCAATCTTTCTCTGGCATTTAAACTCCGGATTTCAACATAAGCAGAAACAAAATTTGTTTGACGATTATTTGCAGCTAACCTTTCAATAATGGCCTGAATTTTCTCCATAACTATGTTATCATCCATTAAGAGAGTGGCTAATTCAGTCTCCAGTTTGTCTAAAGCTGAAAACAGAGCTCCCCCTTCAGAATTAAACCTTTCCTCCATGGATGACAATTCTTCGACCATCTCCAGACATTTATTCACATTCTCATCAAGACACCAAGTGTCTGCAATGGAAAAGTTATTCTCCACAAGAAGATGTTCCACTTCTTCCAGACATGGGATTGTCAATTTGCAATAACCAGTGAAGAATCTCAGTGAATCTTGAGTGTACTTGATGGTGTTTAGGTACTCAAACAAACCGTAAGAAGGGTGGGAGTAGAGGAGAGAATCTTCCAACCCACAGAGGAGTTGAAACATGCTTGGAATAGAAACAGAGAGATGAATTGCACAGTCCAAAGGGTCTTTGATCTTATTATAAAGATTGCATTTTGTTGAGATTTTAGTGATGGAGGTTTCCAAGAAATCCAGTCTCTGGCTCGTCTTCTCCAATGTCTCCCCTGCAATGTCAAAATTTGAGGATAAAACCTTAGATGCTTCCAAACAGCACCTTAGAGTTTCTCTGGCAGCTCTGATCCTCTCCATTTTCTGGTTTCTCTAAGTTTTTCTTTTATCATGAAAAGTTCACTTCCTTTCATAACAATTCATCACTACTTTTTTCAGGGTATAATTTGTTGTTGACCAAACACGGCAGATGAGATTGCAACAGGTCCACCAGTTACAAACCAAACTTGGCTCCTAAAACAAGAAAAATGTTTCTTTCTTCAAAGGCAACAAGTACAGGGCAGGTTTATGATCCAGTATTCACGGTCCAAACATAACCTTACCGTTAATGCTGGACGGATGAGATGAACTAACGCTAGAACAGCGCAGGTTCATGCGAATGTTCTAACATGGGAAACTGACAACAGGGTATTAAGTTGGATTAGAGTGCTAATTATGGAAAAATCTGCTGCACTAATCCACATGATGTTCTGCCCCCGCTCAGTTTCTGTTATTAGACCGTGACATACATCGTACAATTCAAAAAATAAAGACTACCTAAAAGGCTATATAAAGTGAGAATTCGCTTTCAACACACTCTATCCACCTATATATGTAAGGCTCTCCACGACTCATTGACTCAATGTCTTCAATAAAACTAAATATTTAGCTCGTTTGATAATATCAAAATTGCCTAAATTGATTGAATATAATGAGATTGGCGAAATTCTGTGGGAAACCACTAACGCCCACTAATTGGCTGAATTATGAAAAAATAATATTTAGTCTGTTTCATTTTAAAATAAACTCATAATTATGTGGAAAATAATTAAAATGATCTTTTACGGTAAGTTAGTAACCTGATTTAATTTAAGCAAAAAAAGTAATTTCAACCTTTCCGATTTGATTCTTAAGTAATTCAAGAAACAAAATTAAAAGTTACATGTTTAGTAAAAAGTGAGTTGATGAGGTGAAATTAGGGGCTACCAACTTACCAAATGTGTTCTAATATTGAAATGATGTACTTACTCTTTCAATCCAATTTATTACTCTATTTATCGCGATCGGCTTTAGCGTCGTCGCATCACAAGATTGAGGAGAAAAGAAAGAAGGAGAAGAGCAGGTCATCAGGTGTACCTGTGTGTCAGGATGGCAGTGATGAGGCGACAGTGATGGCGTGGGGACGTCGACGGTGATGTCTTAGGAGACGCCAATGGTGCGAGGAAAGGTGGGAAGGAGAGAAGGAGAAGAAGTAAATTAGAGTTAGGTTTATTATTTATATTAAGGGTATTTCAGTCTATTCATTAATATTTGATATCTTTGTTGTTCATATTAAAATTTTGATCCTATTTCTATTCATTTAAAATCCTGGAGTATTATTTCTATCATTCTTTCAATTGCGAATTGTAGATTTAACAGAAAAAGAAACAATGGAGGAGATTAATGAGTTAGAATTTGCATTCATTTTTAAACCATTTCTTGCAATTCTATGTTTGTTATATGCCTAATTGAGAAGTTGAGTCTAGTTTTTACTTTGAATCCTTTTTAAACAGATGAGGATGTTAGTTGAGGAATTTAAAGATCCTTGGGCCGAATTGAAAGAGAATAGTATCATTTTAATTGGAGTTGCAAGACTCATATGAGAGTAGTCGATACCATATTTTGATATTATTATACTTTAAACATGACATACTTTCAATATGACAACACATGAAAGCTTGATTGGCAAGAGAATGGAGACAGCCAATTGCCCAAGTATTTCGTTTACACTATAAATATCATCTCCCAACTTGTGGAAACAAATCGATAGACCGCCATGCTTGCACTCTAGCTTACTTTTACTCTATCAATTTTTCTACTTAATATATACTTAGCACTTTTTAGTTTAATCTACTTGGTTTAGCGCCCATTCAAGGGTCGGATAAGCCATCAACAATACTCCTATTTTGAAATTTCAAAATTTATCTCCTATTAATTCCGAAATTTACCAACTTTCTATAACTAATAATACAAACGGAGAGATAGATTTGTTAACCAGATTTTTAATGTCACTTTTGAGTAACAAAGAAAGTCATTAGTGATGGGTCTATTATTGGGTATAATTGCATTCATGGTCACTAGTATTTAAAATTGGATACAATTATAATCATGTTAAGTAAATTAAATTTTAATTCATTACCCTTATTTCAAATATATATACACTATCGTCTTAGTTAGGCATCTAATAAAACGACCTATAAATACTTGCTCTGCCGCGAGTGATTAATATTTAGGGTGTTTTTACTTAGACTATAATTTGCTGGTGTGGTATGGTCTGGTATAGGGATGGACCGGTTCCGGGCCGACTGGCCCGTGGTCCGGACCGGCCTGGAACCGGCCCGACCCGGCAACCGGGCCCTGGACCGGTCCGATTAGGCCCGAAACTAAGGGCGGGATCGGGCCATGGAAAATAGGAAGTGGTCGGGCCTTTTTTTCATTTTTTTCCCGGGTTGGGCTTGATGTATTTGGGGGGGGGGGGGGGGGTCGGGGGTTAATTAGAAAATCAAAAAAAAAAAAGAATTGAACCGGACCGGACCGGACCGGGTCGGTTGCAGGCTTCCCCCCTCCCCCCCAAAAGCCCGGTTTGGACTGGCCCGGCCCGAAACCGGTCCATCCCTAGTCTGGTAATGTTTGATGATTTTGATCTCTTTGTAATTTTATAACTATCCAGGTTTGGTCTCGTCTGGTCTGATCTGGTCTGGTTTGGTCTGGAACAGATTACAGTCCAAGTAAAAACATTTTTACTACATTCCCCGCCCGACCTATGACCCCAATGGTTTTACTTGGATTGTTTTCAATCCCAAATCAGACTAGACTAGACTAGATTTAAACAGATCAGACCATACTTAAACATACTAGACCTAACCTGGCCAGACTTCAGTAGTTATAAAATACACAGAAACCATACACTTACCAGACCAGACTTAAACAGATCAGACCAGACCAGACTAAACCAACAAATTACAGTCCAAATAAAAGCATCCTAAATGAATTTTTTTTACATTTTTTTTTCAAATCATACTACAATACAACTATACGCATACAAACATGTGTATGTATAATATAATTCATAGATTCATTTGTCTTGTAATACACTACTAGTATGTATAAATATTTATATTTGAACGTGATGAACCATACATGTTAAATGTTTATATCTTTTTTATATATAGCATGTTATATATTCATTTATTGATGTAAATAGATTAACTCACTGGTGGAAAACGAGCGATATGCGGCACTTTTTTTGGACAAGTGCGGCGCTTTTAAGCGCCGCATATTCGACCGCCGCACAGGAATTTTTAGCGGCGCTTATTTTTATAAACGCGCCGCAGATGTTGCGGCGCTTATTTAAATTAAACGCCGCATATGGCGTTTAAAATTACTGTATTATTCAGCCGCCCGTGCAGCGCTTTGTTAGGACAAGCGCCGCGTATAAATAAAAAATTAAAAAAAAACGTTTTCTATCTGCGGCGCCGATTTCTTAACAGCGCCGCATATTTAGTTCGATTTTTAAAATACATGCGGCGCATAACATTAAAAAAGCGCCGCATCTGCTATTTTTTTTTTAAATTACATTTTAAATAATTAATAATTCCTAATTTGCCAAAACATACACATTCATCAAATCTGTATTGTTACTAGCATTCGAACACACTATATGTTTACCAAAATACAAACATACATCAATTTTTTTGTTACATCAAAGACAAATTGTAGCAACACTTCCAAATTAAACACGAAATGACAAAAAATAAGTTTACATTACAATCCAAAATAAGAAATTGTAGCTAATCTACATATTTATAACTACATCTAAAAAGAACCTTGCCCATATATCACGAATATTGTTAAACTCTTCAACGGTATACGCTTCACTTCTTGGTGACCAATCCTGAAATAATTAAAAACATAAAAAATGAATAGTTTGTAAAGTACAATGCATATAATAGTCAAATTAAAACATATTGTTATACCTTTCCGATGTCAATGCTACCTTGATAAAAAATTGCTTCCCACATATAACGCATGACATAATATCCACATTCTGTACTCCCAAAAAATCAGAATCTGCTTCGTTTTATTTTTACCTAACAAAAAATTTATTTTGCTTTAAATTTCCATCGGAAGAGTTTGACTATATATTTTATTAAATATTAGTGAAATTTAAAAAATTAAATTCTGAAATATACAAAAAAACACATACCATACTCCACACATAATAACATTCTTATTTATTATCATATTTAATATATAATATAATATTAAAAAATGGATAATAAAATAAAATAATGAAAAAAATTGAATTGAAAAACATACCAGTTGAATGTCAGGCAAGGGAGAAGAGTCGGCGAAGCAGACCGCAGAGGACCTCGACGCCTACCGGCGCCGGCCGCGAGGCTGGCAGCAGAGGACTGCGTGGAAGACGTCGCGGCTGATAAGGACGGCGTGGCTGGCGGAGACGGACGGCGTGACTGGCGGAGACGGACGGCGTGGCTGGATATGGATGAACTGAGGAAGACGTCGCGGCTGATAAGGACGGCGTGGCTGGCGGAGACAGACGCTATCAGCGGCCAAGCGGGATTGTCCGGCGGATCTGGACTGTCAAACGGGAGGAGTGTTTTGTCGGCGGATTCTTGAGCTTCTTTGCAGCGTAAGGGAAATTTTTTTGTGGTGGGCTAGGGTAATTTTTTTTAATCCTACGAGGCGCTGATACGAAAGAGGCGCCGCAATGTTTATTAAAAAAATATTAAAAACTCTACGCGGCGCTTAGATTCGATATACGCCGCACGCAAGTGGTCCAAATTTTATTCCGATTAATTGAATATAATTTTTATACTCTATGCGGCGCTTTCTCTAAAGATGTGCCGCGAGCTTAATTTAAAAAATATTTAATATATTTGCGGCGCTGTTATAATAATAGGCGCCGCACGCGTGTCCCGGTTTGTTTAAATTTAATTGAAAACGAAAATCGTTTGCGGCGCTTACATTTAAATAAGCGCCGCACGTAATTAAAAAAAAATATATAATAGAAAAGGTGAACGGAGGGACGGCACTTTAACATATAAGCGCCGCACGTTTAGTTTTTGAAGGCGCTTATAATTTAAGCGCCGCAAAAGAAGCGCCGCAGTTTAACGTTTTTCCACTAGTGACTATTCAATTCTAGGTTAGTTATTGAATAAAAAATCAAGTTGTTGTGCATATTGCATTTATTTTCTATAATTACTTTGAGATAAAACTTGCTATAAATTCAAGTTTCAACAATTTCACGCAAATAAAAATGCATGGCAGCTAATTAGGCTATTGCGGAGCGAACCCGCCCCGTGCGACATCGAATGACTATACGTTCGGGTTAGGGGCGGAGTCAGGACACTGGCCGGTATAAAGAATATTTTTCATAAAAATTTAAACATATTGTTTTACCGAGTGACTTTTACCTTAAAAATTTAGAGGCATTTTTAAATTTGGCTTGTGCCAGGACCTAGGTCCGTCCATGGTTAGGGTCATGGGATGGGGTGGGTTCACTTTTTAAAGTCGCCGGTAGGCCTGTCAATGGGTCGGGTCCGAGTAGGAACATAGTGTTCCAGACCCGGTCCCGCTAAATTAATAATGGACCTGGACCCAACTCGTTTACCCGACGGGTCTGAAAATTTGTACTCAGACCCAGACCCAGACCAAACGGATCTCGGAAATGGGTCGGGTAGACCCGTC